TATCATAGTGAATAAAAAAAAAACCCAAAACATTTAAACATAGCTATGTAGTATTAAACAAACAAACAAACAAAAAACATATTTATAAGAGTTCTGGGATTTTTTTTTTTTATCACATTACAGGTTTAAAAATCTCACCACCTGGCACAAATCAGACTAGGACTCTTTCTTTATAATAGTGAATGTGCTGCACAGGCGGAGAATGTTATGACGCTTGATAAGCTAACAGCCTTGAGACCTCAGGACATGAACACAATCACTATGTTTCTACATTAAAAATGATTTTAAAAAAATGATCAATTCAAAGAGTCAATCTGAATGCCTTAATTAAATGCATGGTTGAAAAAAACAAATCAATGGGAAAACATCAACAGTAACATGTTCTATTAGAGAAGCCTAGATGTGGTGATTTAACGTGGTATCATTTTATACGTATCAACTTACACTACGTGTGACGTCGCTGTGGATCGACTCAGCACTGGTTTGGTCAGGAGTGAAAGGATAACGTCACTTCAGTGCGTATGAATAGATGATCGTCTTTTCTATTCATTCTACATCTGTGTTTAGGTCGCAGCCTCTGGAGGAGTTCCTTTGTTCTTTGCCGCCCTCTGCTGGCTGGGCCGTGTAATTATTTGAAAACCGTATGTGAGTTTCAGGTTACATCATGCATGTCATTAAATTATTGCGTCAGTACGTACAGTGAGATTCATGGAAGGTGAGGCACTGCCTATTTCAGTCAGATTTACAAAAAAAAAAAAAAAAAGCTGTTGCCCAGAGACAGTAGAACGTCACACGGTTTCTTTACAGCCTCCGTGTCTTCAACGTCGTCTACGCAACTCAAATGTAAATGTTACATCAATAGAGGTAAACAATGCGAAAATATTATTTTATTTTAGGTCAATAATGTGTTTTTGTCATTGCTGTGGCCAATTGTCCAAAAACAAAACAAACAAAACGTTAATAGTCTTACCTTTATTGATGACTAAAGTCGATGCACATCCGTCTCCATTTTATTCACTTGTAACGATGTCATCCGTCTTTTCTTTTTAAAGTCTCTCTGGTAAAAGCATCTTGAGCCTGATAATTATTGTTGTTATTATTATTTTGTTTTAGAACTTTGTTTTAAAAAATAGTAATTCCAAGAGTTTCAAGAAGTTCGACACACAAACGACAAGCTGCAGCACACTTAACTTTCTAATATCAACTTGTCAAAGCCGAGGGTCTTTTCCGGAGTAGAATAAATGCAGCAACAAGCACTCGTTGCGCTCACGTCTGCCCCCATTCGATGCGTTAGGGTACTTCACCCTTTTACTTGCGATAGTTACGAAAGACCGGGGAGACTAGATATTTTACACACGTCCATTAAATATATTAGACATATATTAGAGTGGAGCAGGTCAGGATTTTTATTTAAATAAATATATATTAAATATAATCACACAACCATATTTAATAACATGAATAACAATTTCAAAAAGATAAATTAAATTAAAAGTGGTGTTCATTATTAGATCAATACAGTGTAATCTCTACAAACCGAGAGCATGAAGCTTCCCTCACTTCCCTGCAGGGGGTGCTACGTATACAGAAAATGTCTAGCTTCGCGTACTACAAAAACATAGACCTATAGCAACAAGGACACGGAAGAAAGCAAGAACGTATTCACTGAATAAAATGAATACAACTTGCAGTACTGTGAGTATTAGGTGAATGGTTCAACACAGTAACAAGTGTCAGTGTGAATGTGAAACTGTCCAGAGCTCTGCAGCAGACGGTGAAGATTTATATTCTCCCTCTGAATATACAATTACATCTGGCTGAATATACAGTTCAGGGGTTGGAGAAAAATGTAGTTTCTACATTTCAGCTTTTCTCTGTAAATGTAGTGGAACAAAAACAATTCTCTACATGGAAAAAGTCAACTACAGTCGATTAGAAATAAGAATGTCTGAAATGTGGACAGTGTTTTCCTGCCTGTTTTATTTTGTTTTATTTCTAAATTACCTTAAGTATACTAGCTGAATAACATTTGGAGGGTAATAAAGAGCATGAAATATATTTTTAACATCTAAACGTTGAGCCAAGATGCACTGCCCTGCAAGTTATGAACAGGAGATGGAAAAAACAAACAATAAATAATAAAGTATTCATTGTTGTGGTGTATGTGTGAAACACCTGTTACACAGAGTCCGGGGGTTTCCCTTCTACAGGATGTTTAGAGCAGAGAACAGGAGATTGAAGTCACTCACTACCGTCTCTAATATTGTCTTTGTTTGTCATTTTGGCTCCGTGTCCAACATCTGACCTCGTGACACTGGTAATGCCAACACTCTATATGATCCAAAAGCAAAGATTCTTTTAATCCTTGAGGTCACACTGGAGCTGAAACATGCAGCTGGACTACCACTGGTGTGGTTAAAATAAATTAAAGTTTATAAAGGAGGAGAGTGTGGAGATATTTTAAGCCTGTGTTGAGACTGTGAAGATTGTAAAGGCCTTGAAAAATGGCCTGTACAATAATAATATGAGATGGATGGATGAATACAGTAGATGTACGGTATGGATGGATGGATGGAAAGATGGATGATGGATGGATTCACAGATGGCTGGATGATACTCTAGATCAATGCGGTTTTGTCTTCCTTGTTGGACTAATAGCTCAGCCAGTCTCCGTGGCTGAACTGGGTCCAGGATTGTCCAGTCTGATGTGTTGACCCATGTGTTATTTAAATCATTCATAAACCTGTCAATAAAGAGAAACAGTGACTGAAACATCTGCCACAAGCACCACTGCAGTCACCACTAAAACCAGTCTGTCTCACACACACACAACACATTCAGGATCCAGTCCTGCCAACACAGGAGTCACGCTGTGGTCTGGTGGATCTCCTGGCTGCAGAAAGGTAGCAATAAAATCCTGGATCTTGCTCGAAGCCCTTAAGGATTCTAACACCAGGCTTTGAATGAGGCCAAACCTGAGGAAAATACTAGTTCATTTGACTTTAAACGCTGAGGATTTATTTCTCAGTGCCTGCTTTACAAACCAGCATTTAAGTTATGGTCTGGAGGAGTGAAAAGGACTATAACTGGGCCTGGAACATCAGAGAGACTGGACAATCTCAGGCTGGGATTTCTTCAGCTGCTTTTTGTCTCTTTTGTCTCCATAAACATTAGCTTTAAATCCACAGATGATGATTAGGGCAGAGAATTATGACTTTTAGTAAACATGTTGACTTTGCGAAACAGTAGGATTGAGACGTCATGACCTCATGCACAAATGAACATTCTTTAGGAGGTCGAAATTACCCATGATGTTCTGTCTCATCTATTCCATGGATTTGTTTTCTCGTCTTTGGGCACTTTGGATTCCAAAAGGAAAAACAATATCATTGTGGTTGAAATAAAGAGTAGTTGATTTTTTAAGCCATTGGATAACATTGAATAGAAAGACAAAGGTCTCAATACCTGTCCATAAGACTCTCAGCGCTCAAATACATCAAATGCAAATACACGAGAGAGAGGGAAAGTCAGAATGTCCTATTATTGTCAAAAATCCTAATTTATAAAAAAATATATATTTTCATTCATTGAATTCTGAACAAAACCTGATACTTTGACAGTTTTGGAAAAACTGTATTTGTGTATATATGTACACAAATATACGTTTGACAATAAAGTTGAATCTAATCCAGTGTTTCCCAAACTTTTTTTGGGGACCCATATTTTAAAAGTCACAAACCTTCGAGACACAAGTCACTAGACATTATTCGTAAACTCCTGGGAAACATGATGCGAGACGACCCCAAAAAAAACCCTCTTTGCGACCCACCTGAGGGTCGCGACCCAGTCTTTAGGAAACAACGGTCTAATCTATTAACAGTTAATTATCAAAACCTGTTGCAAACCTTCAATCATTTCCCAAACTTCTAATTTAGTTTGGTTGAAACCTCAATGTTTGCAGTTTAACAACTGTTCACAAAAATGCAATTTTCAAACTTGTCCAAATCTGAACCTGACAATCACACACCGCCTGAAATTACAACATCATTCTTAAAACTTTTTGACTCAGATTTGACTTTTTGACAAAGCGACAGGTCGAGCGGTGACGGTGGCACTCGGCTGTAGCACTGATGCAGCTGGGTCGATGTTGTTTTTGACAAAAATGATCTAAATGTTCCTGCGAATTCTGCATATCTAAGACTGTAATTACTGTTTTTGTATTTTTGTGTGTGTGTATTTTTATTTGAAGACGAGGGCGGTGGAGAATGTTGATGTTTCCCATGTTTTGGAAGGATCCCCCCACCGTCCCGTCCCCCCCTCCTCTCCAACAGCAGAATTTGTAGAATGTTATGTCTCAGAACCCCACCAAAGCACTGTTCCACTGTGTAACAGTCTAGAAAGGTTCGAGTTCTTCCCACAGAGAATTTACAAGGAAGCCTGTTGTGTATCTAAGGCGAACCATAAGTACCCACAATTCTTTGGTCTTTTAAGCCGCGCAGGCAAAATCTTTCCACTGCCAAAACGGCACCCATTTGAAAGGCAGTTTAATTGACTCATTCCCAGGATGACATGAAGGATTTGTCCTCATTTGCAGGCGCTGACTCAGCAGTAACCAGCCTGGGTACTATTAACGAGCGGTATTGTGAAATTTTCTGAGCAGTGGGACCAAAAACGTCTGTGCGCGTACTACTGTGTAGTGCACTGTGATGTGTATTATTATGTATATTTATTGCCTGTCAGTCAAAGTGCAGGGCTGAGTAACGGCAGCCCGGCTCCACATGGTCCAGTGATAACCTCAGAGGAGGCTACGGGAAATTCAAGCGTAGATGTTTAGCTCCGGTCTGGTCGTCACTCAATCACAGGGCAGCTGCTGCAGAAGCTTCTAGAAAAAAAAAAAAGGTTCCAGGTTCATATTGTTGTCGTTTGAGGCCACACGCTTGGAACCGTGACTCATCCTTAAGGACACAAAAACACAGAAGCTCCAAACTGTCACAGACGTCCAGATTTGAAGTACACAAACGCTCAGTAAACACTGTCTTTGCTGAGAAAAGAGCTGAAGGTGAAGACTAGGCTTGTTGCAGTGTGTGTGTGTGTGTGTTTGGAAGTTTACCCCGACCTGTGACATCTCCTGTTGTGCTGCTGTTGTTGAGCTCATATCGAGCTGTCGTCACCATTGTTTACCTCTTCTATCTCTGAGTGTGTGTGTGTGTGTGTGTGACAGAGAGAGAGAGAGAGAGAGACCTTTAGAGTGTGTGTAACCTTGTGTGGATCCCGTTCAGCCAAAAACAGGAAGAGATACAACGGAAGATTGCCAAAGCTGTTCTAGGACAATAATGAAAGATCTGAAACAGTTGTGTCCATTATTATTTTGTTTTGTTTGTTTTCAGGGTTTTTTTGTTTTGTTTTTTACAAAACATTCTTACGGTGTGATGAGAAATTACTGAGGAAATGTTGCTTTTATTGAACAGTAAGGCTCACACTGAATGTGTAAATAAATAAATAACAAAAACCAAGACTGACAAGTTTTTATGTTCTTTCTAACCAATGACAAGTTAGATGTAGACCCAACAATTTACAGTGAAACACATGCGTTGGCCTGAGTCACGTGTGTCAAACTCAAGGCCTGCGGGCCAAATGTGGCCCGTCAAGTTATTTTGTGTGGCCTGTAGGAGCTTAAAAAAAGTTTTAATTTCTTTATAATAAAGGATCTAACCTGATATATGAATATAACTGACTAATACTGTTTTTGTAAGAGGAACAATCAAACCCACTGGTCCGGAGTTCCAGTCATTCCATTTTTACAGAATATAAAAATCAACTGAACGTTTCTGCAGTTTAGAGCACACAGTAACTGCAGCCCCTCACAGCTACGAAAGGTTTGAGGTCGTTGGTCACAGATTCCGTTCCAGCAGGGTCAGGCTGGTGGTTCTCCCTGAGTCAGAGCTGCTGATTAGGAGGTCCAGTCTAGGTTTGAGGGTTTGGAAGCTCAGGGCGGGATGCTTGTGTTTAGAAGGTTAATGGTTTGAATCCACCAGCCGTCTGTGTACAGAGGCAACAAATGACTCAGCGAGCGGAGAAGAAAGACATAAGAAAAAGGGACGACAGATCCTTCAGCGACAGGTTTCGTCATCCGTGTGAGAAGGATGCGGCGGGATGCCATGTTTGTCGCTCACATTCAGACAAAAGTTAACTAAAACTCAAGGAAGGGAATAAATGGTACTCTACTGGAGCAGTACAACTTTATATAGTTGTTTTTTTAGCAGTTAGAGTCTGTTAGTTAGCAGTTCACCATTTGCATCTCATACAGTCTGATAGAATATACTAGAGCTACTGTCTCACAGTAATACTTCACTCTACTGTATTCACTGATCACTGCACCAGATGGTCGTAGTACAGTAGAGTATTTCACACTCTCAGACTTCCTGTTTGTATGTTTTGTAATAATGCCAAAT